TTGCTCTTCATTTACATAGAAGTCAGACCCAGAGCCTTTTATGGTAAGATTTGCCTGGGAAACAGTACTTCAGCTGGGTATCTGAAGTGGAAATTCTGTTCTTGAAGCAATTGTAAGTGAAGGAATGTGACTGCATTTGTGGGAATTCTCTTCTGGTTGTATCAGTGATGATGCCAGCATGCTAGTGCCTGCTGAGACTGTGAAAATATGTACATCAATGTGAGACTGCAGCCTTCAAGCTGTATGTAGCTGAGTGGGAGAATACAGTGGTAGAGTGTGTGACGTGTGTGCCTGTGTGACACAGAGGACTATGAGTACTCGTGCAGGAGCTTGTCAACACAACTGTGTGTGGTGTGCAATGTGCACATGTTAGGCCTACCTGCATATCTGTGTCGGTGCACAAGCATGCATGCACAAGCATGTAAGCGAGCATATATGTGAATATGTGTGTTGCCATGGGGCAGAACATAGCCATAAATGCATATGTGAGCATAAGTGTGAGTATTAGCATATCTGCAAGTGCAGAACATATAAATAAATAAATTTGAACAAATGTGTATGTTACCAGGTGGTCTTAGAGGGAAGGATCTGGTTCCAGACACTGCCTCTGCTCTGTCCTGTCCATTTCTGTACATGTATTAGTTTTAAAGATGAAAAGCGCCCCAGCTTGGCTTTAGCCTGGGCATCACCCCTGAGTGCACAGTTGCTATGCCAGCTCAGTGTGTTTGTTGTGTGCTCTTGTGAGAGAGTTGGTAATTGTGAGTGCTCCCTAAGAGAATCTCTGGGGCCAGCGGATACAATAGGCAAGGGTCTAGGGTCTGAAACTGTAGACTTTAATAAAGCCACTGACAGCAAATAAGAGCCTGACATGTGAGTCACATTACTGACAACAAGGGCTGCTTTGTAGTCCCATCTGCACCCCGATCGGGTCCCGTACAGTAACTGAAAGGACAGAACAAACTGCTGCTGCCTTCAATAAATACAACAGTGCCACAAAGGCAGCCGAACAGACCAACTTTGTGTGGCTTTCCTGCAGCTGAGCTACAATCCTAGTCTCTTCCTCGCCTCCCCCACCAGTGCAAATGACTGACATTACCCTGTAAAGGTTGCTTGAGAGCCCTGGCTATGTGCTTGGCCCCATGGCAATCATTACATGCAGCTCTGGAACATCTCTCTTCCCTGCTACCCTCTATGTTGCCATCCTTCACGGCCTTTTGCCTTCTCTGACAAAGGACTGGAGATCCCAGAGCTTCTGCCTCATAAGCCATGTGCCTTGGACCTCCTGCCCTTGCCTGGGCCAGCTGGCACTAGGAGCTTAGCAAAGCCTTACATCAGGCTATGAGCACAGTTACTTGAAATGGCTGTAATCACACTCCCACTGGAGTGGTCATGATGAAAATGCTGGACTTCCCAGCACAGTAACTTGAAGACCTTTCAGACCCTTAGTGGCTGGTCACCTCCCTAGCTTAGGTAGCACCAGCTGATGACAGCGTTTCCTATTTACCCAGATGTCACCTACCACAGTCGAAACATTTTCCCTGGCTGCCCTCAGGGCCTCTTACCCGTCCCTCCCTTTGGGCCTCTCCTCTTTGGCTTGGAGACTTTCCCAGTGAAGTGCTTTCACAAGGGAAAAAAGGCTTTGAAGATCAATCCCCCTTCAATGGGAATTTGTGCCGCTGTTGTGTCTTCCTTAGGGCTTTTCTGGCTACTCTTTCCTGAATTTGTCCCAGTGGCTATAGAGAAAGGGCTCTTGCTGGGCCTGACAGGATATACTGTCAGGTATTGAAAGAGAGTATAAGCCCAGGAAAGATCACTGGGTTATAAATCAAAATAGAAGCCTGTGGTTGCCAAAGGGGTGATGATAAGTATCAGGATAAGGTTGTCTGTGACAGTGCAGGTGTGCTTGTGTTGTCTATCCTAGCACATAGCATGTCAGCCCACCTAGCAAAAGTCTGAATTCTTGTCTGCTTCAAAAAATGAACATCAGACTCAACAGTTTATACACAGCAAAAACTCTACTTCCTTCTGTGTTATGTAGTGCATACAAAACCCTGGAGGTTAGGTACATCCCATGTGGCACCTGTACCATTTTGCCCTGTGCTTCTGTGGTGTAAAACCTGTAGCCTACCCTGTCGGTGTACATGTACACAATCTAATTGACACTGTCTTTAGCCAAGAAGATCTCGCCCATAGTAAGGTATAAGCCTTATCTACCTTAAAGGTAAGAATTTCATCTGGCATGTAGTGTATTGTAGCTTATAGGAAGAGAACATGCTACAGGTGAGATGCAGCAGATCTTTCCTTGGAAGGGAGATCATACTTCGGGGAGCAGATGAAACCAGTTTCTCTTCATCCTTAGAAAAAAATCTACAGGACTGTCTTCTGTGGAAAAAAACCCTACTTGTCACTTCACATCTTCTGTTCAAGCAGCCATTCCAGATAACATTAAGCAAAGGAAAGTACAGACCAGCATAAAACAAGTCAGCAAGTAATAAGAATCAATACATTATACAGAGATGTATGCAGAAGAGAGAGAAGGATTTCACTGGTGTCACAAGAAAGTGCCCAGAAGCTATAGTGGTAGGTGATGATAGGAGCAACTTGTGATGAAGTTTTGCATAACACTGTGATATTTCTGTTAGTTTAATATGTGGACGTTCTGCTAGGAATTCCTGTTCTCTCTGTGTCAATAATACATGAAGTGTTAATTAAACACCACTGTTTTCAAATACACTACATGGTTGAGAAGCAGCACCAGAAACCTTAATTTCTGTAAAAACTGTGGTCTGAAAACAGGAAAATGTCTGGAATTAATTATTTTGGGGGGGGGGAGGGGGGAGGGGGGAAGAATTTAGAGCCTCTTATGTCACTGTTCAAAGGGAATGAGGATTCCCCAACTTCCAGTCCAGTGCTTTGACCACATAACAAGCTTCCCTTTTGCTTTGGTGTCTAGGCCGAAACCTGGACAGGGCAAGGCCAATGAACAAGCAGTCATTGCATCTGATGGTAGGTGCCAGTACCCTCTGTCATCGTCTGTGCTGACTACTGAGGTGGCACAGCTGGCTAAACTGGGAAATGACTCTTGAGCATGGAAGCTACTGCAGCAGCACCTATGCCTTCTTCTGAAGTACCTCCATCTCATGAACAGACAGGACCTTAGGGATCCTATTTCTTGTAGCTTGATATCTCAAGAGAAGGTGTTTCCTAGAAGAAGATGGAAGAATGGAGCCCTTGAAGATCAGGGACATCCTGCTGGTATGAGGTAGAGAGAGAAAGGAAAAGATCTGTGTGAAGATCTGGCACAGCTTTAACCTGTTTTTACATTACTTTGTATTTGCATTGTTTCTGTTTAAAAAGATTCTGTCATAACTGAGGGGAAATTATGTAGTTGCAACACTGTATGAAGATAGACAAAGCAATTGCCTAATGGTACCTTATGGGAGTGGATACTCTACTTTGCATCCCCAGAATGCGGAAGTTTTGTATTTACGAAAAGAAGCTTTTTTAGAAGTCTTTATCAAACAATACAGATAATTTGTGGAGTGAATGTTATAGTATGCCTGTTAAAACACAGTTATCACGCAAATGCAAAAGCAACAAGTAAGAGCAACTGATGAGAAGATCAGTGGCCAGGTGGAAGTGCCTGATGGGGACAGTGGCTAGCAAGACTGGCTAGGGAAGGAGGAATGGGTGGCAGAAGTGTGCTGGGGCAGCTGTGTGGCAACATGTCCTATAGGTCAGCTGCAACCTTTTACCACCTTACTGCCTGGGAGAGCAGAGGACAGAGTCCTGAGACTTGGTGTAGGCATGCTAGATCTGTGTGCTACTGCAGGTAGTAGGAACCAGCTCCCTGCCCCAGCTATTTCTGCACCAGGAAATCAGAGAGGAGGGCTTCAAATTTTTCTTGCTGTTCTTTGATAAAGGTGCAGCAGTAATTATTTGAACTCACTTTTTCTTTCCATTTCTTTCTTTTCTCCATTGAAGAGCTGGTTGGTTGGGTCAGCTGAGTCATCATTTGTGGAGAAGCATAGCTCATTGAGCGCCAAAGTAGTTCAGTTTAATTTTCCCAGGTTTCTGAGTACGTTCTCAAAGTGGTCTTTACTAATGACCCCTAAAAATTGCACCAGGTTCTGTATGTTGTTAAGCAAAGCCTGGCAGAAGGACTGTAATAAAATGCAATGAAAAGCCAAGTGCAGATGTAAAAAAAATTATATATATATATATATATATATATAAATCTTAAGGCCAACAAAACTTTGGAAATGGAAAGGCTGTGGAAGGCATTGGAAATTATCCTCACCCTTTCCTCTGAACCTTATTCAGTTCTCCAACCAGGATATCTTGAGTGCAGAAAGAAGTAGTGGCTGTATTGGTAGCCCTTGAGGCATGTGATGTCTTAGTCTGTACAGTCTCATCTAGCATACCAGAAAGTGGAGGAGGAAAAGACAGGATAGTCAGATTCAGGCTACTACTGACATACCTGAGGCTGAAAGTAGTCTGAGTGGAATTTCATGTCCAGTCTCCAATGACTTCTAGGAGAAGACAGAGACCAATTCATGCTGGCCTTCTTGAAAGGAGCAGTCCAGACTGAAGCTCTAAAGGTGCACTAAAGAACTTCCTGTTAGCACTTCTCAGCTCTTCTGTTCTTGCTTTGTGATCTTAGTTTTTGCAGGCTCTAGCCAAATTCTGGAGATTTGAGATGTAAAAGAAAATGGGCTTCAGAAAATCTCAGATCCTTACCAGTTCTGACCAAAGAAAGTTATTCTTTATGGTCCAGTCCTTTTCAAGATAGCTTATTTAGCTCTAAGAGACTTTGGAAATGGGGAAAAGAGGTAACCTTCTGGGAAAGAGAGTTTGGTCCTAAACTGTCAGCCATTAAAATACCAGACTTTTGCCAGCTGAACAGGAGAAGCTGCTTCCAATAAAGCCAATCAAAAGCAATTTCCCTGCTGAAAGGTGGCCTACCTGAGACAGAGCTGCCCGCACCAGCTGCACGCCACTGCTGTCAGACTTGGCGGGCTCTGTCAATTAAGGGAACACAGAGCAATCTGTGAGCGCTGAAAGGGATCCCTTCAGAGCCCTCCGTGGCTGAGAGACAGGCCCATTGTCTGCATGCATGTCTCACATAGTTTCAGAGGCCTGATAAGCAGGCATGCCATGAAAAACTGCATTATATGGTGAGCTCGGGAATACTTTGTTTGGGGGTAGGTGAGGTGGGGGGGTGGGAGAAGAGGTAATACTGCACCTTTGCATTGTGGGAGGTGGGGCAATGAAAGACATCGCGTTTGGTGGTCCCCCAATATAACCTTCTTTCTCACAAACTCTTGTTGAATGATGAAATCGTTGTTTCCCCTGCTTCCCCTCCTCCCCTCCATCCTTGTCCTTCCTTCTGGAGTTCAGAAATCAGCTGGGAAATTACTGCAGCACTGAGAAGACAAACAGCTTAGCCACCTCCAACTGATGCCTTGTCACATGTTGAAAATGCTTTTCCCTGGGAATGTGGGACCACCAGTGTCTATAGGTCTATGGTTAGGGAAGAAGGAAGGCTCAAGGTTTACATGAGCATGTTGCAGACACCATAGAACAGGAAGGTCAACACAACACCTAGCAGAAGGAATGTGTGGGGTTCCTGTATCAGCTGCTTACCCACATATGATTTCATCTTCCTCAAATTATAGGCTGGTGCCTTATCCTTTGGTACTCATGGGCTGTGGATTCTTCCTAGCTACGGGCCTAGAAGGGCTTGTGCTCTCAGATGGGCACATCCAAGTCTAGAGCAGGATACTTTTTAGACTCCACTGTTTGAGTTTGGGAGTACATAAATGTATTAGTACATACTAAATTTTCAGTGTTACAAAGCAAATAAACCCAAACTGTATGTTGCTTTTGTGTTACCTTTCTAGGCCATCTTGCACATGCAGAGATGTTCTAACATAATTCTCTCTTTGAAATAAACTATCCACTATATAACGTTAGTTTTTGATACGTTGGAAGATACAGAAGCTGTACGCTGTGTGATAGGAAGCAAAGGAATATATACATGGGAACAAGCAAGTCTGTTACTGATGATGTAGCGTATAGTTTGGAAGAACCGATGTTGTGGTAACAGGGAAACAAATGCCACCATCCAGAACATGAAGGATGGGTTGTAAATGACCTTTCCTAACACTTTTCCTTTCTCCTTCTGGCTGGGACTCTTATTTTCTGCACTCACTGAAGTTGATAATCTTCATGTTTAATTTTAGTTAAAAGCACTCCAGATGATCTCCATTCAGGGTTTGAGCCAAAGCTTGTGTAAGCCATGCCCACTTTGGACTGTCACAGGCATGTTGGACCAAAGCCATTTCTGGTAAGTCAGTTAAATTCTGTGGACCTACCAACAGACGAGTCTGGCCCATACTCTTAAACTTTCACATTCGTTTTTCTGCAGTGCAGTGGGCTGCCAAAGAAAGGATTGGATTTCTGATCACTCAGTCCTTCGTCCTTTTGCACATACACCCTTGTCAGGCTTTAATGATTGCCTGCAGCTCACCCGGTGTACAGTGATACTCCAGGAGATGGCAGCTCCTAGTTTTTCCCAGTTGGGGGATATGTGTCTTGGCTCAGCACATTTGATAAGGAAAATTAATGAATTTGTTATTGGATGGAAGTTCCTCTTTCATCTCTGACTTGCTGAGGCTCAGGGACACCTATCTTTCTTTTCATGGTACATACAGCTCCCATCATGAATGCCAAATTCTACTGTCTATTCTCACACTCTTCACTGCACACTGACATAATATTTGACTTCTTTTTGAAGATTTTTAAAATGTTTGTATTTATCCTTTATTTTATTTCCTTGTGTTTAGCTATACATACTTAAATTGAGCAGAGAGACTGGCTTTGCTTTGTTCTCTGTTCTTCAGATCTCCAAGCCAGAGATCTCACTATTTGTCATGTTAGCCTCCTAAAACTGTGCATTTTCCCCTTATATCCTCATTTAAGTGCAATTCATGACCCTTCTCAGGAACAAATGCAAATAGACCTTTCTCTAAAGCACATCAGAAGCCCACAGCATCAATCATAAGTGGGCTTTGGAGAGGACTGTGAAGAGCCTTGTTTCCTTGTGTTTGTCTGTCTTGGTATCTTTTTGGGTCTGTTGAATCTGAGTCATTCGTGATGAAGGAAAGATAAGTTGAGGTATCTCCTAAACCTGCCATCTCCATTTTCGGTCTCTTTGAGTAGCTTATATAAAGGTAGCCCTAGCACAATCTTCGCATTGCATTCTTACTTGCTTCAAGGAACAGTGAACTAAGTAAGTGAAGATATTTAGCAGATTGTCATCAGGAGGCAAGTGAGCCACTCAGTTTGTGCTTTTTGGAACTGTTGTTTCAGTATCTTGTCAGGAGATAGCAATGGCTTTAAGAAGCATACACATTCAATTTTTCCTGTATGCTTGGAGCAGAGGTGAGCTGCTTCATTGTAAAGTGGAAGCTGAAGAGCAGAAGGGGTGGTGTTAGAATGATTCCTGGTGTATCCTGCTATAATTTGAGTCTTGCTTTTCAAGGTACAGAAGCAAACTTCTCATCCTTGCTCTGCTGTTTGTACTGTATTTATAAACCAGTGCTCCACTTGGACCTTGTATCACTAGCTCTGTGGAACACTTCTCATCTGCTCTCTTTTGTCTTCCCTACAGGCCGGTATGAGTGACTGGGTGGTTCTGTATATCTTGTATGTGTAGCTGGGATACCTAAGGGGGAATGTTTTCCCTTTTGCCACATATTGCAGAGACTGCACAGTCCTGCATGTGAGTGTCTTGCAGCAAGTAAACTGCTAGCCATCTGGTTCTTGGAGCCCCCGGGACTTCTCTGTGGTTTGGAAAGGGGAAGCCTTTGATCTGTGGTTTGTGTGGGAGAGGTAGATGATACTGTGGTTTGCAAACAGCTGATTGTTCTCTCTTTCCTTCAAAGAAAAAGAATAGTGTTGATCTGTGATAATTCATGACATCACATAGGTGATTTGGAGGGGGCAGGATGATGTGGTTTGCTCCACAAGTTGCAGTTTGCGAGTGTCATGGTATATGTTTAAGAAAAGGTGACAGCCTTGGTTGTGTCTTTAAGCCACAAGCCTCTTTTAGGGGCAGCAGGAATGGCCCAAAACCAGCAATAAACCCCCCCAAGCTGAAAATTTCCTTCTACATCTCTCCAGAGCATGTAGCAGTTGGTCAACCCGGGCAAAAGTGCTTCCCCTTCTTATTTCAACTTATTTCTAGAAGGGATATTTGTCTGCAGATATCTACCCCATCAGTGGTCCTGAGGCAACGCCTAGTGCAATTTTAGAGTTCAAAGGAGTGTGATTGCCATTATCCCTCGTAATCCTGGAGGTTATGTTCAGCAGTTTGGGTGAGGACTTCTGGGAAAATGTTGAGTTTGAGCAGAAACTGCTGTATGACTTTTTGTGTCCATCTGGGGAGGGTGGCACTCGAGTAAGCAGCTCTGAAGGAAAAGAGAGCTTGTGCCTCTGCAAATTTGGGAAAACTGGTATGCAAGAGTCCAGTGCTCAGAATGTAAAATCTGGTGCAGTGGACCAAACCAATGATCCATCTTCCATGCAATCTTGTCTCTCTACAAAGTGAATGTTTAAGGAAGGGAATAGGAACAGGATGGGTATATAGCGATCTCTCTGATATATAGCACCTATCAATCAGAGTTGACAGATTTCTGAAAATGGGGAATGTATTAGGCTTATTATGGCTGGTAGTCACCACTGGATTAATATCAGTCCCTCAGGCTCCATGACATGATAGCCTTGGGCAGCAGGTCTGGCAGCATTTAAAGGGCTAGGAAGGAGAAGCTGTGTGTTGGCAGAGGAGGGACTAGTGCTGACACCTGTAATAGCATGAGTGCTGCCAGGCACGGCAGGCTGGGAGATCTCCAGCTGGGAAGGAGTAGGAAGTGGAAGCATGTAAATCAACTACTTTCAAGACACTGTAGGGTATATCAGAGCAAAGCCACGCAATCTGTAGCTTGTTTGGGAGGGGCCTGCCTTTTGGGTTTGAGTGCCTAAATTTGATTCATCCTAGAGACACTGCCAAAGTTTATGAGGAATGGGATTCTTAAAAGAACTTAGTGCCACTTTCATTCTTCTTCCTTTCAAATCAGTGGCGGGCTCTAAAATCCCACCTTGGAGCTTATGCATGTTAGCTGGGGTAGAGCCCTCAAATTTTGGAATGTATTTTTTGTTAAATCCTCAATAGCTAGGTGACTCCTTCTTATCACTGCTGCTTCAGAGCTGCTGACATTTCCAAGGAACACTAGTAGGTCAGAAAGTCAGCTTGGAGAAACTGAGCTGCTGCTTTACCGCATTATACTCACTGAGCCCAGTGCTTTATAACTCTTGTCTTTAATGATTTTCTTGGCTATTCTTCCTGGTACTGGCGTAAGGCTCAGTGAGGTCTGTAATTCCCATGATTGCCCTCAGCACCTCTTTTAAAAGAAGCACAGTGTTGGCTCCCCTCCAACCTCGTGGGAGAGTGGCTGTTTTTAACGATGAATCGAACATCTTTGTTAGTAACTTCTTTATACTGTGATTTCTTTAGAGTGTTTGCATAAATGTCATCTGGTCCTGGAGGTTTCTTGCTATTTCAATTTTTAGGTTATGCTGTTATGTCTTTTTTACTCCTTTTGAGTTTCTATCTGTCTGTTTTCAATATATCTGGCTTGGTCTGTCCTCTACTACTATTACTGCTATTTGCAGTTACAGGATTAGTGTAATGTCAAGGTGCCCAGACCTCAGCCTGGAGACCCCTTACGCTAAATATTTTACCTATATCCAAACCCAAACCAGTTTTTACCAGCTTGTGACCAGGCTTTTTAAGATAAATTAAGCCTTTATCTAATTGTCTCCTATGGAGCAAATGGGAAAAGTTTACTCAGATCAGTCAGGCCAAGAATAACCTTGTACAAATGTGTCCCGCTGGTGCCAGTCCAGAGCAAAGACCAGAAGACTAGGTTTCCACAGCTTTGATGTTCTCATGCTCTAGTCCTGTATTTTAATTGCAATGCCACATTTCCCAGACTCATCCTGTCTTCTGTACAGTTTGAATATCCCTATACTCAAGTGACTCATAGTAGAACTTCCCTGTAATTATACCCCTCTCACAGTCCAGTATTTCTGACTGTGTCACAGCAATAAGGTA